CGGTCCTAGGGCTATTGTTAGGAAATCCACGGGAATGGTCTTGTCAGCCCTCGGTCGCAGCTGTGCCCTGGAGCTGCACAGCACACTCCGGTCTTGCAGCATCCTTGGGCCAGGCCCTTTGGGGACATGGGTTCAGGGTCAAGTCTAGGGATGCTCTGGCAACTGGGCACTGTGGGGTGACAGTACAGAGAAGTGGGGCCACTGGCTGCTGTTGGGACAGTGCGGCTCTGGAGCCTGCTTCCCTGTGAGACCCCCTTCCCTAACTACCACAATGCAGTGTGCTGGGCCAAGGGGGCATTGCGCAGTGACCGCAGGAATGCTTAGCACCCCACATCTGGAGCAAGGTCCCGCTGGGCTTTGCTACTGGTCTTCTGGTCAGCTGCTCGAGATGGTGGGAAGGGGGTGCCGTGCCTGCCGTCTCACCTGCAGGGGTGTCCTGCTTCTGGGAGAGACCCCTTTCCTCCCACTGTCGGGTCCCCTGGTAAGTTTTCTTGCAGAGGCTGCCTCTGTTCAGGAGGTTCTGGCTTCTCCACAGTGACAGGGGTGTTCCTACATTGGCACTCATTTGCCAGAGGGCCGTGCCTCGCCTGGGTTTGGGGTTTTCCTTGTCACCTAGCACGGCTGTCTGCTGTCTCAGTTATAAGCCGCAGGAGCTGGAGGCTGGCTGGCTGGCAGGGTATTTTTAGCTGTGGTTTTGTCTTGCTAGTACCTCCTTTGTCACAGGGCCCGCGCAGGTCAGAGTTGGTGCCCAGTGTGGGCAGCGTGAGCCGAGCCCTCCTTCCTGGTGATTCATTGCCTGGTCGTGTTTCTCGCAGTTCTGTTTCGTTTGAGCAGAAAACATTCCCTGGGAGCCAGATGAATCACAGGTATGAGGATGGGAAGGCGCTATTAAAGCGTTGACTCAGCACCCCCTGCCCGAGAAAGATTACTTGCAGAAACGTCATTTGCCCTTTTCTGCTCTCCTTTGCAGCGTAACATTATTTTGGGGGGCCACGTAATAGTCATTCTTAACACGAATGCCATGCAGAACCCGCCGTGGGTGGCTTGACCTTTTCCACAGCCCTGTGCATCCACTCCTGCCCTCTCACAGACAGTGGCCCTGCCCACAGCTCAGGAGGCAGTTCCCCAGCCCGGCAGTGTGCCCTGTGTCCCTGTCACATACCTTTGTAGTAGCTTTTGCTCCCGCCAAACACAGGAGTCCAGAGGTAGCTTGTTGTGGCCATTGCTGTGTGCACCGAGGGCCATGAGCCTGGGGTCTAACTCTCGTGTGCGGATCCTGCCAGGCTTTTCTGAACCCTGAGGGTCAAGCAGAGATGTCTCCTTTCTGGGCAGGTGGGTGGGCGGTGCCTGCTGGACCCCGACTGAGATGGGAGGTCTGGGAGGGGGCTGGCACGCAGCGTGCCTTTCCAGCCCAGGCCTGCCCCAGGGCCTGAGAAACAGATGGGATACTGGGCCGCAGATGCAGAGTGACCTGTCCAAGGCCCCATTCCAGAAATGGAGTTGGATTAATTCTCCTGGTCTTTGGGTCATGAACCTCCATGTGGAAGAGGCCTGTGCTTGGTAGGTTCTGGCTATGTGGAATTCCTAAACCATGCTTGGACAAGGAGCCCCAAGAATGCTGCCCGTCCTCTTGCCACCTGGCCAGGCAGGCCTCCCCCAGTGCCCTCCGCCCATGACCCTAACTCCCCTCTGTCTCAAGAGTGCCTGTGAGCCTCTGCCTTCCAGCTGGGTCCCACTGGTAACTCCAAGGTTCTTGCTGCCCTTTCCTGGGATGGGACGAAGGGTCTCACCCTGCCTGCCCTCCAAGCCAGTCTTGAGAATGGGTCAGGCCGCCTGAGCCATTGTGCTGGTGTGTTTTGCTTTCTATTTATTTGTGCACAAGGCCTCTCTTTTTGGGTTCCTGCTAATTTTGACCTGGTGGCGAAGGTGCTGTCATTATACCGTATTTGGTTGTGTTAAAACCATAAATCGGTTACTTTTGTGCCTGCCGGAAGAGTTCCTCCTTAATTAGTTTAACCGTGGACTTAGTGTGACTGGACTTAAAGCAATCAAAGGCCCTGTGTATAATCTTAGCACTCTGGGAGGCCCAGGTGGGAGGATTGCTTGAGGGCAGGAGTTAGAGGCTGCAGTGAGCTATGATGATGCCACTGTACTCTACCTGGGGTGATAGAGCAAGACTGTTTCAAAAAAAAAAAAAAAGGCAATCAAGAATGAAAGTTTTGGCCAGGTGCGGTGGCTCACGCCTGCTAATCCTAGCACTCTGGGAGGCTGAGGTGGGCTGATCATTTGAGCTCAGGGGTTTGAAACCAGCCTGAGCAAGAGCGAGACCCCGTCTCTACTAAAAGTAGAAAGAAATTAATTGGCTAACTAAAAATATATAGAAAAAATTAGCCGGGTGTGGTGGCTCAAGCCTGTAATCCTAGCACTCTGAGAGGCCGAGGCGGGAGGATTGCTTAAGGTCAGGAGTTTGAGACCAGCCTGAGCAAGAGTGAGACCCTGTCTCTACTAAAAATAGAAAGAAATTAATTGGCCAACTAAAAATATATGGAAAAATTAGCCAGGCATGATGGTGCATGCCTGTAGTCCCAGCTACTTGGGAGGCTAAGGCAAAAGGATCACTTAGGCCCAGGAGTTTGAGGTTGCTGTGAGGTAGGCTGATGACATGGCACTCTAGCCTGGGCAACAGAGTGAGACTGTGTCTCAAAAAAAAAAAAAAAAAAAAAGAAAGTTTGCCAGGGCGGTAGTTTTAGGAAGCTGAGGTGGATTGCTTGAGCCCAGGAGTTTGAGATCATCAGCCGGGCAATATATTGAGACCTGCCTCTATAAAAATAAGAAAAATCACTGTCTGTATGAAAAACAGAAAAATTAGCTGGACATGGGGCACCTGTAGTCCCAGCTACTCAGGAGGTTGAGCAGAGGATCGCTTGAGCCCAGGAGCTGGGCTGCAGTGAGCTGTGATGACAGCACTGCACTCCAGCCTGGGAGCAGCAAGACCCCGTCTCTGGAAAAAACAGTAAAATAAAATTTGTTACAAGGTCATGTCATAACATTTGAGCCAGCAAATGGACCTCAGGAGCCTCCAGCCTCTGTCTCTGCCCCTGCTGTGTGTCTCTGGCCTGGCTGGCATCAGGGAGCTTGCTGTTCCCATCCTTGCCTGCTGCTGGCATCTGACCCATGTAGTAATTTTTGAGACATAATTCACATACTGTACAATCATGCCCTTAAAGTATACAGTTCACTGGCTTATAGTACATTCACATAGTTGTGTAATAATCACCACAATCAGTTTTAGGATATTTTTATCTGCATGAAGAGGCCCTGCCCCCATCAGCAGTCACTCCTCCCCCGCCCCTGGCACCCACAAATCCACATCCCGTCTCTGTGGTTTTGCCTATTCTGACATTTCAATAAATGGAATTTCTCACCGTGTGTCCTTCTCTGTCTGGTGTCTCTCAGATGTAGATACCTTGTTCTAGAATGTGGGGGCCCAGCACCGCCTGGTGGGACGGTTGGGCGTGTGTACTGCCATATGTAGCTGGGGAAATGCTGTTGTCTGTGGTCCTTGGCAGGGAAAGGGAGGAACCCCAGGCCGTGGTCTCCAGACTCGGGCTTAGGCCATGAGTCCTACCACCCGATGAGGGGTGAGGGCTAGGGAACTGCAGCCTGCTCTTCCTGTCCGCCTGTTCCTTCTGTCAGCAGAGTAGTCCTCGTGTAAATGCTCATGTGTGAACTGGTGGGAAAACTATCTGTTTCTTTTTTTTCCTTGGAGATGGGTCTCCCTGTGCCGCCCAGGCTGGAATGCAGTCATCACAGCTCACTGCAGCCTCCAGTTCCTGGGCTCAAGTGATCCTCCTGCCTCAGCCTCCTGAGTAGCTAGGACTATAGGCATGGGCCGTGGCGCCCAGCATTTTTTCTATTTTTAGTTAGAGATGGGGTCTTGTCTTTGTCAGCGCTTTTTTTTTTTTTTTTTTGAGACAGAGTCTCCCTTTGTGTCCAGCTAAGTGATCCGTGGCATCAGCTTAGCTCACAGCAACCTCCAACTCTCTGGGCCAAGCAAATCCTGCTGCCTCAGCCTCCTGAGTAGCTGGGACTACAGGCATGTTCCACTATGCCCGGCTAATTTTTCTTATATAATAGTGGCCAATTAATTTCTTTCTATTTTTAGTAGAGATGGGGTCTCGCTCTTGCTCAGGCTGGTTTCAAACTCCTGACCTCGAGCAATCTGCCCGCCTCGGCCTCCCAGAGTGCTGGGATTACAGGTGTGAGTCACTGCGCCTGGCATTTCAGGCTGGTCTTGAACTCTTGAGCAGAAGCAGTTCTCCTGCCTTGGCCTCCCAGAGTGCTGGGATTACAGGTGTGAGCCACCATGCCCGGCTGTGATCCCTATTTCTAACTGATGGTTGTTCACTCAGGCTCGCCAATCCCTGCAGAGTGACAGACCTGCCTGTGGCCATGGGCCTTGGGAGTGGGGCAGATGGGAGCCTTGTGCAGGGGAGGGGGTCTGGTTCTTTGGGTATGATGTGTTCCACAAGTGCTGGCCCTGTGGTTTTTACAGATGAGGAAACAGAGGTCCAGGAAGCTCAGTCACTTGCAGTCACGTGCTGGGTGTGTATGGACTGGGGCCTCCTAGGCCATGGCTCCTGGGCTGGACAGGCCTCAGGGAGGAGTCGCAGTGGGCACGTGGAGGCCAGGCGAGGTGCCTGCACTGCTGGGGTGTGGGTGAGGGACCAGTGGCCACAGGGAGAGCAGGCTGACTGGAGCTGCAGACTCTATCCGGCCCTGTTCCCTTTTCCCTGCTGGGGGCACAGCATGCTGGGAACAGGTCCCGGAGTGTCCCTGGTGGTCCCTGCCTGGGAGATGGGCTTGGGAGCCACATCAGTAGGAAATGAAAAGAGCCGATGGCGTGGACCATCCAGGAGGAAGGGTGGCCTCTGGTTGTCCAGGATCACCTCCTGAGATCACATGGCCCGACAGGTCTGAACTGTCCCTTTCCTTTCTAGGACAAACATCACGATGCTGCTCATGAGATCATCGAGACCATCCGGTGAGTCCCGGCACCCGCTGGGGGGCGTGAGGGGCGCTCATGGGCAGGGGTGTCTGTAGAACCACTTGTCCATGCATCCTACCCACTGGTCACGGTCAGCATCCTCTGGGCACGCTCACGCCAAGACACCGCCTGGGTCTTCGTCCCTGTGTGCTCTCAGTGTGCTCCTCCACCCAGCCTGCCCTCGGGATCTGTGCCCACATGTGTGACAACCCCACCATGGTTTTCCCTTTATGCCACTAAGGAGCATATCTCAGCGATTAATGTGAGAATGTCAGACGACTTTTCCTTCCCGGGTGAACCCTCTGGGCCTCGATGTGTGCTGAATTCCACTTACTAACACATTTAAAGGAGTTTGTGTCTGTGTTCGTGAGGGATGTTGGTCTGTATGTTCCTTTCTCATAATGATGACTTTGCAACCCTTTGTCTCTCCCTGGTTTGGTGTCAGGATGGTGCTGGCCTTGTGAAACTCTGAGCAAGTTTTTGTGGGGTAGTGTCACATCTTAAATGTTTGGTAGAATCCATCTCTGGGCCTGGAGCTTTCTTTGTGGGAAGGAACTTGATTAGGAAAATGGAAACCAGGCATGGTGGTGCTTGTCATCCCAGCTACTTGGGAGACTGAGGCAGGAGGATCTCTTGAGCCTAGAAGTTGGAGGCTGCTGTCAGCTGTGGTGATGCTACTGCACTGCAGCCTGGGTGTCAGAACAAGATCCTGTCTCCATAAAAAAGGGAAATGGAGTTCTTTAATAGGTGTAGGGCTGTTAGGACCTTCCGTTTCTTCATGTCCATTTTGGTAATTTTAACCTTCAAAGAATTTGCTCATTCCTTCTGAGTTGTTGGGGTTGTTGGCTTACCATGTCTCATACTATCCTGTTCTCCTTTTACTGTCTGTGAGACCTATACTGATGACCTTCCTTTTGTGGTTTTTGTCTGAGGGTGTGTTGGGACCTGAGTGAGGCTTACGCGAGTGATGAGTTGGTGTGTTTTCCCATCTCTTAATCTGGGAGTCCCTCTCCGTCTCGTTCTTCCTTGCAGTGTGTGTGTTGAAGAAGCTCTCATGTGTTTTGGGACTAGCGAATTCTTCAAATACTAGTTCTCTTTAGTTTCTAGTCGATACATTGCTTTTCCAGCTCAGCTTTGAGCCACCTTGGTTCCTTACTAACCCTATAACATAAGTTCACTCAGCTCCCGACAGCCACTATCATTCAACTTTGGAGCCACATAAAATCTGTGCGAGTCACAATTTCACCATAAACTTTCAATTAGTTGTTCTGAAATAATTCTTCCCTTTTCTGCTTTATGGTTAGAGTTGAGTAATGGGGGTTTATGTGTTTATAACTGAGAGTCAACAACGTTTAAGAAAGTTGAATGTGGAAAACAGAGCCTGAATGATGATATTCATTGTTGTTTCTGCATTTCTGTTCCAGATGGGTCTGTGAAGAAATCCCGGATCTCAAGCTCGCCATGGAGAACTACGTGTTGATAGATTATGACACCAAAAGGTGGGCGGGGCTCTTCCAAGCTGCCCCTCCCCAGGGGACAGGCTCACCACTCCGGGGACACAGCCTATTATTAGCTCTTCTTAGATAGTACAAGCCGATCCGACATTTCCTTTTAGAGTTGGCAATAGCTGCCATAAAGTTATTTTGGGAGGAAATGTTTATCAACTATTGGCAAAGGCTGTCAGAGCGAGGACATAATTGGAAACTGCACACTGTGGAAACTTGAGTTGCTGTGTGTGAAATCACCCGAGTTAGCAAGTGCTCTTTTTATAGCAGGCAGCTGACTGCCAGAAGTCAGCGCTCAGGCCCAGAGCCGGGCCACCGTGCTGGCCTGGGAGGCTTGGGCACAGCCCCATTCAGGTCACAGTTAGGTTTGGTGAGTAACTGTGTCTTCAGCCCTCTGGCCCCTTCTAGCAATTTCTTCCCAGCATCTCCTAGCTCTCAGAGGAGAGTCTTCTGGGTGGAGATGGGCAGGGCCGTTTCTGGAATGCCTGCCTGGGATTGTTTTGTTTTTCTTTGTGAAAGAAGGAGGATGTTCCAGGCTCATGCCTCTTTCAGCCCTTCAGAGGCTACAAGTGGACAGGGCAGTCCTCCTCCGTTCTGTGTCATCCTGAGTTTGGGTCACTGCCTCCAACAGAGGGTCAAGCCCAAAGTAGCCCTGAAGCCCCAGTGCACCCAGCACCCGGGTGGATTTACCTCATTCACGTTTTCCAGGATTTCGATTTCAGGGCAATGTCTTGTTTGCTGCTTCTGAATTCTTGTACTTGCCCACCTGCACCTGCTGTTTAAGGAGACTAGGATTTGTCCTAGTCTTTGAGTACTAGTCTTCTGTTAGGAAGGGAAAATGGGAATGTAGCCATGCAGAGCAATTGCCCCAGTTATGTAGGGCAAGGAGGGGGCTGGGCGGCTGGGGGTTCCCCTGGACTTCCTCCTTGTGTGTTTAGTACATATTATCATATGTTTGGATGTGTCAGAGCTTTTTAAAAGGTTTTATGCATAGAAGCAACGGTGCCTCCCTCCCTCCTGCAGGGCTGGGCTGTCCTCCTGCCCAGCTCTAGCCATCCAGGCAGAGAGAGGCCTGATGGCCTTGGCCCGGTGTCCTGGCCTAGGTGAGGGGAAGGGTTCCTGTCCAGGTCTGACCACACTCAGCTGGGTGCAGAGAGGGAGGGCCCCGCATTGGTTCCACACTAAGGCCTGCTGGGTGCCCTTGGCCGGCTGTGGGTTTGACCTGTGAGCTCAGTCTGTCTAGGCTGTGGTGCCTGTGCGTGCACGTTGGCCATGGGTTTCCCCTCATCAGGTCGGAAATGAGGCTTCTGCCCAAGGGTTGTGATGGTTGGTGGCTGTCGTGGGCACCTGGCCCCATCTGACCTTGCCAGGTGCGGGGCTGTGCCCTCCCTGGGAAGGTCCTGATGCTGTGCTGAGCTTCTGGTGACTGGTGTCTTCCCTCGTCTTTTCCAGCTTCGAGAGCATGCAGAGGCTCTGTGACAAGTACAACCGGGCCATCGACAGCATCCACCAGCTGGTAGGTGGCCTTGCCCTCCCGACCTGTCTCCTCCTGTGGCCGCACTCATGCCTCTGGTCCCTGTCCCCTGGGTGGGTCTTCACAGTACTGGCCCCAGACCCCTCCAGACCATTAAGTCACCACATGGGAGCTCTGGCAGCCCCCCTCTAGAACCCCAGGATCAAATGTGCAGGTAGGGTAAGAACCACTGCTGTTGCAACAGGCATGGCCTGGGGTATCTTCGGCCGACCACGAGCTGGGGGCTGCTTGCTGGATGGGAGTTGGCCGCAGTTTGCTGTCTGAGGCCGCTCCCTGGGAGCTGTAGTGTTTGCACACGCCTGTGCTCCTGCTCCTGTTCCCTGGGTGGTAGCAGGGGTGAGGGGCCAGCAGCTGCCTTGGGATTGTGTGGAGATCTACCTTTAGCTGGCCCCGAGCAGAGTGTCCTTGATTCTGGCCACGCCAGTGTCTTGTGAGGCCCCCGCACGAAGGACAGATGGGCAGAACGTGCTGTGGACACAGTGGTGCTCCTGCTGGCACGTGCAGGGTCCCTGGTGTGGGAGTCTTGGGCAGGCGTTGTGCACGCGGGGTTGTGATTAGGGGAGTATTCTCCTGGAGGCCCTTGCTGTGGGGGGGCTGGGAGGGGGCTGCTCTGAGCTGGCAGTGAGGGCAGCCCCTTAGAGCTTTTAGGATGAGGTTGGCCTGGGTGCACATTGGTGACAAGCTTTCCCTCTGTTGCTGGTGGAGGGGGGGCAGTAGACAATTCAATTGAAGGAGGCATGAGGCAGGCTGGGGACCTCGTGGCTCATGGCGTTGGGGGGCCTGGGACAATCCCATTGCATCACCTTCCACCCTGCTGCCTGGGCCAGAGGCCTGCTTTGCTCTCAGGTCGACATGGCCCGTGCACAGGGGTCTGCCCAGCCTCTTCCCCCTGCAGAGCTGAGGCCTGGCCCCCACGTGTCTCACCTATCACTACAGACCAGTTTGATGGGCGTGGTGTTGGTGAGCAGCGTTGGAGCAGACGGGCCCAGGAGGGGCTATGTGCAGAGCCTCATATGCTGTCCTTGTGGGGCATCAGCGCCCTCCTCAGAGGAATATCTCGGATCTGGGGGTTCTGGGCGGCTGAGCAGGCCCCAGGCTGCCTTGCTCAGAAGGGAGCCCCTGCGGGGCCAGCCAACCTGTTGGACTGGATGGGCCGTCTTGGTGCCCTAACTTTGGAGCCAGAAGTGCTGGTGTTTTCTGGGGTCCTTGGCTAATTTCTTCTCCCTAATAGATGTTTTGTGACAGATGGCCTCTCTGAGGCCGAGATGCCAGAGTCTATGAGACTACACAGACCCTGTTGTCCAGTGAAGAGGCACATGCGTTGTGTATGGCCGGGGCTGCATGGGGGTCTCGCCTGCAAGTGGGGAGGCCGGGGCAGGACCAGGCTCCCCGGCCCAGGCTGAGTCTTTCACAGAGAGTGGGTGCCGGGTTAGAGAGTGACCTGTGCAGCAAGTGCCCAGCAGGCTGCCAGGCCAGGAAGAGGCAGAAGGAATTGTCCTGCCCCTCCTGTACCAGCTGCAAGTTAGAACTGAGAAAGGGTGCATGTGCTGGCTCACGTGCACACACGAGCACACACCCTCACTCATGTACACTTGTGTGCACACATTTTCCCAACTGGGGAAAGTACCCAGGTCTCAATATGGAGGGGCTGTCTGTGGCCTGTGTGACGTGTCCGTGTCCCTCCTTGTCCCCAGTGGAAGGGCACCACCCAGCCCATGAAGCTGAACACTCGGCCGTCCAATGGGCTCTTGCGGCACGTCCTGCAACAGGTCTACAACCACTCAGTGACCGACCCAGAGAAGCTCAACAACTATGAGCCCTTCTCGCCTGAGGTGTACGGGGAGACGTCCTTCGACCTGGTGGCCCAGATGATCGATGAGATCAAGATGACTGAGGATGACCTGTTCGTGGACTTGGGAAGCGGTGAGTGCCGGTGCCCGTGGCTGGGGTTTGCTCTCCCAGGCCACCCTCAGTGCCTCTGTGCCATCTTGGGGAGGAGTTTCGGCTGGAGCAGGGCCAAGGCTCTGGGCGTCTCACTCTGAGGGCTTCCGCAGAGGGTCTGCAGACTCACACATGGCGGACACTCTCATACTCAGTGAACTGGTTAGGCTGATTGATTCCTGACCACACACCCGGTGGTGGTCACAGTGCTGAGGGGGTGTCTGTTGGGGCCATCCTGGAGCTGTCCCCGGGCACCTTGGACCTCACTAGACACCAAACCTGGAGCTCAGATGCGGAAATCTTGTCTCAGTGCAGGGAAGGGGCCCGAGAACAGGGATGAAGGGGACTTCTTTGTGACGAAGGCGTCATCTTTAGTTTACTGTGACGAAGGCGTCGTCTTTAGTTTACACCCTTTTTAACCACTTCGGTATGGCGCTCACCAGCTGCAAAACTTTGCCCACAGCCGGCACTCATTGTCCATGTGATAATTTGTGCTGTGCATTGATGAGGAATCCGTTTTCCTCTTGTATGATGAGGAAATCTTTAAAGCACTGAAAGCTTGTTTTACTTTACAGGCAGCTTTACTTGTCATGTAAATCAGAATAGGTAACATATACATATATATTTTGATTACGTTATTTTTAAATGTTCACAATTTTTTTTTTTTTGAGACAGAGTCTCACTTTGTTGTCCAGGCTAGAGTGAGTACTGTGGCGTCAGCCTAGCTCACAGCAACCTCAAACTCCTGGGCCCTCCAGTTCCTGGGCTCAAGTGATCCTCCTGCCTCAGCCTCCTGAGTAGCTAGGACTATAGGCATGGGCCGTGGCGCCCAGCATTTTTTCTATTTTTAGTTAGAGATGGGGTCTTGCTCTTGTTCAGGCTGGTCTTTTTTTTTTTTTTTTTTTGAGACAGAGTCTCCCTTTGTTGTCCAGGCTAGAGTGAGTGCCGTGGCATCAGCTTAGCTCACAGCAACCTCCAACTCCTGGGCTCAAGCAATCCTGCTGCCTCAGCCTCCTGAGTAGCTGGGACTACAGGCATGTGCCACTATGCCCGGCTAATTTTTTCTATATATATTAGTTGGCCAATTAATTTCTTTCTATTTTAGTAGAGACGGGGTCTCGCTCTTGCTCAGGCTGGTTTCAAATCCTGACCTCGAGCAGTGGCCGCCTCGCCTCCCAGAGTGGCTATGATTACAGTGTGAGTCACTGCCCTGGCATTTCAGGTGGTCTTGAACTCTTGAGCAGAAGCAGTTCTCCTGCCTTGGCCTCCCAGAGTGCTGGATACAGTGTGAGCCACCATGCTCCGGCTGTGATCCCTATTTCTAACTGATGGTTGTCACTCAGGCTCGCCAATCCTGCAGAGTGACAGACCTGCCTGTGGCCATGGGCCTTGGGAGTGGGGCAGATGGAGCCTTATGCAGGGGGGGTCTGGTTCTTGGGTATGATGTGTTCACAAGTGCTGGCCTGTGGTTTTACAGATGAGGAAACAGAGGTCCAGGAAGCTCAGTCACTTGCAGTCACGTGCTGGGTGGTATGGACTGGGGCCTCTAGGCCATGGCTCTGGCTGGACAGGCCTCAGGGAGGAGTCGCAGTGGGCACGTGGGAGCCGGCGAGGTGCCTGCACTGCTGGGGGTGTGGGTGAGGACCAGTGGCCACAGGGAGAGCAGGCTGACTGGAGCTGCAGATCTCTATCGCCCTGTTCCCTCTTCCCTGCTGGGGGCACAGCATGCTGGAACAGGTCCCGGAGTGTCCCTGTGGTCCCTGCCTGGGAGATGGGCTTTGGAGCCACATCAGTAGGAAATGAAAAGGCCGATGGCGTGGACCACCAGGAGGAAGGGTGGCCCTTGGTTGTCAGGATCACCTCCTGAGATCACATGCCCGACAGGTCTGAACGTCCTTTCTTCTAGGACAAACATCACGAGCTGCTCATGAGATCATCGAGGACCATACCGGTGAGGTCCCGCAATCCCGCTGGGCGTGAGGCGTCTGGCCCAGGGGTGTCTGTAGAACCACTTGTCCATGCCATCCGTAACCCACTGGTCACGGTCAGCATGCCCTGGCAGCGCTCACGCCAAGACACCGCGCCTGGCTTCGCTCCTGTGTGCTCTCAGTGTGCTCCTCCCCAGCCTGCCCTCGGGATCTGTGCCACATTGTAACACCCCATCCAGGGGTTTTCCTTTCATGCCACTAAGAGCATACTCAGCGATAATTGAGAATGTCAACACTTTTCCCTTCCCGGGTGAACCTCTGGCTCGAATGTGTGCTGAATATCACATACGTAACACATTTAAAAGTTTGGTGTCTGGTTCATGAGGATTGTTGGCTGTATTTCCTTCTCATAATGATGACTTTGCAACCCTTTGTCTTCCCTGGTTGGTGTCAGATGGTGCTGGCCTTGTGAAACTCTGGGCAAGTTTTTGTGGGTAGTGTCACATCTTAAATGTTTGGTAGAATCCATCTCTGGCCTGGAGCTTTCTTGTGGGAAGGAACTTGATTAGGAAAATGGAAACCAGGCATGGTGGTGCTTGTCATCCAGCTACTTGGGAGACTAGGGCAGGAGATCTCTTGAGCCTAGAGTTGGAGGCTGCTGTCAGCTGTGGTGATGCTACTGCACTGCAGCCTGGTGTCAGAACAAGATCCTGTCTCCATAAAAAAAGAAATGGGTTCTCTTAATAGGTGTAGGCTTGTTAGGACCTTCCGTTTCTTCATGTCCATTTGGTAATTTTAACCTTCAAGGAATTTGCTCATTCCTTCTGAGTTGTTGGGTTGTTGGCTTACCATGTTCATACTATCCTGTTCTCCTTTTACTGTCTGTGAGACTATTACTTGATACCTTCCTTTTTGTGGTTTTTGTCTGAGGTGTGTTGGACCGAGTGAGGCTTACGCGAGTGATGAGTTGGTGTGTTTTCCCATCTCTTAATCTGGGAGTCCCTCCCGTCTCGTTCTTCCTTGCAGTGTGTGTGTTGAAGAAGTCTCATGTGTTTTGGGACTAGCGAATTCTCAAATAATAGTTCTCTTTAGTTTCTAGTCGATACATTGCTTTTCCAGCTCAGCTTTGAGCACCCTTGGTTCCTTACTAACCCTATAACATAAGTTCACTCAGCTCCCGACAGCCACCATCATTCAACTTTGGAGCCACATAAAATCTGTGCGAGTCACAATTTCACCATAAACTTCATTAGTTGTTCTGAAATATATTCTTCCCTTTTCTGCTTTATGGTTAGAGTTGAGTAATGGGGGTTTATGTGTTTATAACTGAGAGTCAACAACGTTTAAGAAAGTTGAATGTGGAAAACAGAGCTGAATGATGATATTCATTGTTGTTCTGCATTTCTGTTCCAGATGGGTCTGTGAAGAAATCCCGGATCTCAAGCTCGCCATGGAGAACTACGTGCTGATAGATTATGACACCAAAGGTGGGCGGGCTCTTCCAAGCTGCCCTCCCCAGGGGACAGGCTCACCACTCCGGGGACACAGCCTATTATTAGTCTTCTTAGTAGTACAAGCCGATCCGACATTTCCTTTTAGAGTTGGCAATAGCTGCCATAAAGTTATTTTGGGAGGAAATGTTATCAACTATTGCAAAGGCTGTCAGAGCGAGGACATAATTGAACTGCACACTGTGGAAACTTTGTTGCTGTGTGTGAAATCACCCGAGTTAGCAAGTCTCTTTTTATAGCAGGCGCTGACTCCAGAAGTCAGCGCTCAGGCCAGAGCCGGGCCACCGTGGCTGGCCTGGGGCTTGGGCACAGCCCCATTCAGGTCACAGTTTGGTTGGTGAGTAACTGTGTCTTCAGCCCTGGCCCCTTCTAGCAATTTCTTCTCCAGCCATCTCCTAGCTCTCAGAGAGAGTCTTCTGGGTGGAGACGGGCAGGGCGTTTCTGAATGCCTGCCTGGGATTGTTTTGTTTTTCTTTGTGAAAGAAGGAGGATGTTCCAGGCTCATGCCTCTTTCAGCCCTTCAGAGGCTACAAGTGGACAGGGGCAGTCCTCCTCCGTTCTGTGTCATCCTGAGTTTGGGTCACTGCTCAACAGAGGGTCAAGCCCAAAGTAGCCCTGAAGCCCCAGTGCCCAGCAACCGGGTGGATTTACCTCATTCACGTTTCCAGGATTTCGATTTCAGGGCAATGTCTTGTTTGCTGCTTCTGAATTCTTGTATGCCCACCTGCCCTGCTGTTTAAGGAGACTAGGATTTGTCCTAGTCTTTGAGTACTAGTCTTCTGTTAGAAGGGAAAATGGGAATGTAGCCATGCAGAGCAATGCCCCAGTTATGTAGGGCAAGGAGGGGGCTGGGCGGCTGGGGTTCCCTGGACTCTCCTCTTGGTGTTTAGTACATATTACTCATATGTTGGATGTGTCAGAGCTTTTTAAAAGGTTTTATGCATAGAACAACGGTGCTCCCTCCCTCCTGCAGGGCTGGGCTGTCTCCTGCCCAGCTCTAGCCATCCAGGCAGAGAGAGCCTGATGGCCTGGCCGGTGTCCTGGCCTAGGTGAGGGGAAGGGTTCCTGTCAGGTCTGACCACACTCAGCTGGGTGCAGAGAGGGAGGGCCCGCATTGGTTCACACTAAGGCCTGCTGGGTGCCTTGGCGGCTGTGGGTTTGACCTGTGAGCTCAGTCTGTCTAGGCTTGGTGCCTGTGCGTGCACGTTGCCATGGGTTCCCTCATCAGGTCGGAAATGAGGCTTTGCCCAAGGGTTGTGATGGTTGGTGGCTGTCGTGGGCACCTGGCCCATCTGACCTTGCCAGGTGCGGGGCTGTGCCCTCCTGGGAAGGTCCTGATGCTGTGCTGAGCTTCTGGTGACTGTGTTCCCTGTCTTTTCCAGCTTCGAGAGCATGCAGAGGCTCTGTGACAAGTACAACGGGCCATCGACAGCATCCACCAGCTGGTAGGTGGCCTTGCCTCCCGACCTGTCTCCTCCTGTGGCCGCACTCATGCCTCTGGTCCTGGTCCCCTGGGTGGGTCTTCACAGTACTGGCCCAGACC